ACCGAAAAATTTAACAAATTACAGTACATTAACTTACAGTACATTAACACCCCCCTCCCCCTAACAATTTTTGGGGAAAAAAGATTAATTAGCGACTGAAATGTTTTATGTTTGATCAGTAATACCCCCACGCCAATCTTGATCCATCCGTCACTGGGTCTGGGTCCCACCAGACGTTGCTCATTCGTCGTCCTTTTCAAGACCCCAGCTGACGTCCCTGATTTATTATATGAATGGTGTTCAACACGTCCGAATTTATTTGTAAATTCGCGACGCATGTTGAACCCTAATCTAACCCCGACTCTAACCTCTAACACTAATCTGATCTTAAACTTCTTAATCTCTCCCTAATTTAACCCTAATGTAAACTAGATAGATAGATAGATAGATAGATAGATAGATAGATAGATAGATAGATAGATAGATAGATAGATAATGTATTTACAGATGCATATATTTACAGATGCATATATTTGCTTTAACCATCAATGTGATCGAACAGCGATTTTCGACCGAAAGGAAGAAAGGGATTTTCTCTTTTTAATTTCCTTAGGAATAGAATTCCAAAGGAATGATCCATCGTACATAAAACGTTTTTTAAATTATTAGTCCGCGGTTGCGGTAAACAAAGAGTACTTGAAACGTTTCGAAGATTATAGCTAGTCATCTCACTTTTATAAGTGAATAAGTTAGTGAGTGATTGAGGGCCCATGTTATTTAATAATTTATACATCATTTTTGCCTTGGCTTTCCTCCTTTCTACTTTAGGTGTCTTCCAGCCCAATGCTTGCAATGCTACAGAATGATCTGTGTCATTGCTCATATATTCATGATAATTGGAGCAGCTCTATTTTGGAGTTCTTGAAGTCGTTTTGATTGTGTTTCACCGAACACATCCCATACTTCACAGCAGTACGCCAGTACCTAATCGAAGTATGGGCGAACAATAGCATTACTTTACTTGACTTTTTTATAGGCTTTAACTAATAGAATATGTTAAGGTTTGTTGGTTTTTGGGGATGTAATCAATCTAATACATTTGAGGGCAAATAAGTATTATTATAGCTATAACATGTTCTGTCGTTCTTCTGATTGGATCTCTATATAGCTACTAGTAGGATATTTAACAATTTATATACTCACTGAGGGGAGGTGCATCAATTTTAGTATAATTGAATTATATAGTCTATATATATACACTGACCGCCTAAAACGGCTCATTGTCAAGTTTATGGTGGATTGTTAACTTGCTAAGAGAAATAAATACGCGTTCATGTCATGAAGAGACACGTAAATTATGTACATGTCAATGCGAACCTTTACTGTTTTAGTTTTCTTTCTGCAAAATTTGATTTAATTTCCAGGTTTTTTATCAATTTCCCAACAATGCCAAAAATCAAGGATGTTAAAATCCCTTTGATATATTTACAATAACGATGGATATTCAAAATTCTGTACAAAGAATTTCTCGGTACAAACCTGCTCGGATTACTTTCTCTGCTTCTTCCAATCCTGCATGTGTATTTGTACCCCAACCAGGATAAGTGACGGTCCTAATTTTTTTACTTGCTTGGTTGATAGGTGAGAAGTTAAAATCTAAGGTTGCCGAGTTGGAAAAGCTGACTCCAGCGTATCGGCAGTCATAGGAAAGCCCTGCTTTCTTGGCTTTCACCTTGCACATTTTCATCATTTGGGACATAGCTATTTTTCCTTGCTCAAACTCACACGAACCAATTGACCCAGATGCATCCATAACAATAACCGTATCTTCTTGTATTGGCGGCGATCTTTTTGCGAGTCTTAGTTGGTTGTCCGGTTGGTAGCGCACGAAATTGTCTAAAATCATCTGTGCAGTCTTTTGTGGAGAAGGGATGTTTTGCAATTCTACAAAATATAAGCAGTGGGTACTACAAGAAAATTTAATCTTATACTAGCATTTTGTTGCTTATTTAAAGTGAAACAGGGCACATGTGGTTAAGAGGGTCCTGAAGGGGGGTCCCAATCCCATTTCCCACCTGAAATTTTGGCAAAATCCCAGTCCCAGTTGGATTTTTATTAGAAATCCCAGTCCCAGTTATTGAAATCCCAGTCAATAAAAAACCCTTTATTTATCGGTAGAATAAACAGTTTTAAGACCTTTTAAGCATGTGGCGGCCACTTTATGAAATATTAGAGGGGCTCGTGCCGAAGGCACGGGAAATTTTTAAATTTGAATCCCGGAAATGGCATTTGCAGCATTCTGAGACACGCATAATCAGAAAACCCAGATTTCCGGGTGCCAGAGTATGCCTGTTCGCAAGTAGTGCTGTGAATAATATAGTTAAAAACAAAAGTCATGACCAAAGACACCAAAAACGGATCAAAATTGTATTTTAAAATACTCAAAACACAGAAAAATTGGGAATCGACTCGCATTACATCAATCCCATTCCCATTTTTGAGGACTCATTTCCCATTCCCAGTGGCCAAATCCCAGTCCCAGCAACCCAAATCCCATTTTCCCAGTCTAAAAGTAGATCAATCCCAGTTCCCATTTTACCCCTTCAGGACCCTCGGTTAAGTATAGTGCTTTATACCATACGGGAGTGCAAGGCCGTAGCGACCGTGTGTGTATGTGTGTGTGGGGGGGGGGGGTGCAACACTCCCCTAATAATTGCTCATGAGCAATGTCAGGTAGATTCCCAGTAGATTTTTAGGTAAATAACCATAAATTCAGGTAATCCTTAGGGCATAAGAAAGTGAATTGGGAAAAATAACTATATCTGTGGAAAAATATTTTTGTATTTTCGCAAAAATTAAGATATGTCCGGAAAATTTTGTATTTTCGGAAAAATTATGATATGTCCGGAAAAATTTTTGTACAGTGTTTGCGAAAATTTGTGCGACGTCCCCCCATACCTAACCTATAATAGGTATAACAAATTAACAGCTAAATTTTAGACTTACGTTTGTAAACCGGTGCATTTGGATTTGATGGCAATGTTGGTTTCGGACGTCTCCAAAATGTTTGTTGACTGTACTTGGGTAGGACACTGAAGAAAATCATGAGCGATAAGAACATAACTGATTTCATGGTTGAATATCTTGTTTCTTCGTAACCTGCCTTTTTTGTAAAGTTCTTCTTCCAGCAGTGTAAGGTTAAAATGAAAATATGTTGCTTCACGAAGTGTTTTTATGTCTTCTTTCGCCTAAATATAGATTCTGGCAGGAATTAGTTTTGTGTAATTTACTCATGTGGATTGCGACATTCAGATTTGTGTCAAAATTTGTCTCAGCTCCAAACTTTCAGAAAGTCCCATCGCTAGTCCTTTGTGTGTAAATGTGGCTTAACTTAAGGTCAGTGTGAGGACAAAGGCTTAGGTTTGTTTGGACTTTTACATGAGAACATCAACAAAGGTTTAAACCACAAAGTTGTGTCAAAGTCAGGGTACTCAGGGTGCGCGACACTCTAGAGTTTATATATACCCATTAGTGAAAGATAGTTCTCAACTTCGCAGTTAAATGTCATGCATATTGGCTGCTCTATATACTCTATATTTAGTTTTCTTGAAGAACTGTGGAACAGGGAGGGCCGGAAACTATATTTTTGATCATATATACACGTTAATATACATATATACATGCACCGTTAATATGTATACATCCTTTGCAGGGAAAGCAAATATATTGGAATAAAATAGTTCAGAAATTAGGGCCTGAATTTCAGGTTAGAAATGGGGTTAAAACGTCATTTTAAATTTGCTACTGAAAAGTTACTCCATGGTTGTCCATGCATTTTTCATGTATGGTAAACTATATGAAAATAGGACATGTATGGAAAACTATATGAAAATAGGACATGTATGGAAAACTATATGAAAATTGATATTGTGCATTTAGTTTGGAAATAATATTCTGCCCTGCAAATTCTCTTAACCCATGCAGGGGGCAGTGACATGTCAAGTTTTAAAAGTATTGGACATTAATTAATTATTTAAAGATATTTAAATATTGACATGACTTTATTTGTCGTCCGTTTCAGTTCGGCCTCAACCGGTAAAATTTCATTCTGTTATTATACTTTGAAATGCCTTAACTTCATTAGAGGCAGCACCGCATGGGGCATTAACCCCTTTGCTTTGGTAATTTTTAATTTGATTTCCATATACTCTAAAAAGAATAACTACAATACATAAAACTTAAATGCACATTTTACTGTTATCACTCGCTGGGGCACTTGTCGCTCAGGCGAGTACAGGTTTCGGCATGCATGCATTTTTCTTGGGTCGTCGATAGTCACAAAATAGAATCAAGCACACAACTTGCTTACTGTAGGTGAGTTGTGTGCTTGATTTAGGGAAGCCTCACATATCGATTTTTTCCACGAGAAACGTCATATGTTCGTTTGGGGGTGGGGGGGGGGGGGGGGGGGTTGCAGCTGTGACGTTCCTCAGTGAACATCATGGAAAAATTCGATAGCCATTTTTCGAAAGCCGTGACATTTCGGAATCATCTTTGCAGAATAAAAAAATTACATTCGTAATACCATACCTGTTCTATATACGGGTATACATTTATATTATTACGCCTGGCTTGCATTAAAAGACTCAAGTTTAAAAAAAAACGTGCTAAAATTATCAATATTTCATGCAAAAAAAGTTGTTTTGAGAAACGTTGGAAATTTTGATGACATATTGCCCACGGAAGCATCGCCAATAGCCGACCGTAGAAAATAGTAGAAAATTACCTTATGTGTACTATATTAAAGAACCAGGGCCGCCCAGAGGTTGGCGGGGGCCCGGGGCAATTTTTTTTTAGGGGCCCCTATCTAAAAAAATGTTCCCGGAAAATTTTTTTTCCGGAGAACAACCTCTGCCCCCC